CCTTGACTTATAATTAGTCTAGCAATAAACCCACAATAGCTATCATAGCTGAAACTAAAATTAGATTGCTAGGAATTATCTGTGGTGTGCTTGCCCACAAAAAACATTTAGTGGCAAATCTCTAATGCTATAGTGATACAAGTCCATTTGCAATAAGGAGCATGGTATTTTTTTTTTCTTTTAATAATCAGAGTAATTTGTGCCTGTAATTGTTGCAACTTTTTTCACTGGTGCTGGCAACCTGCCCAAATACAACTTCTGTTTCCAGATTTTGTTCATCCTGCACTCAGGTGAACACAGAATTGAATGAATATCAGTTTAGGCCACCATATTTTTTTTGTTCTTTAAAATAGATCATCCTCCTCAAGTGAGGGAAATTACACAAGTGCAGTTGCACTTGAATTCCTTACCTTTCTGTGCAAAAAAAAAAAAAAAAAAAATGTATAATATAATTATACATACAAACACACTGAACATTATTGCATTTTGTGATAGTTCTTGTTCCAAATCTTGTTTTAAGCTTAAAAACCCTTGAACTTTGCATCTTCTGTGACTGAACAGTGGTAGAGGGTAGAAAGCCTTCTTCTCTATCCTTCAACTTCCAAAGGGGAGAAAAAGAAAATCTATTTCCTCCCGAGAATAGCCACTTCATTTCTGCTTTAATTTTTTTCCATTTACAACCAAATATTTGTACACAGGTTTCTTTACCAATGATACTAAGTGAGAGTGTGCATGTGTGTAAAAAAAAAAACAAAACAAAAAAAAAAACTATGGTTTCTTAAAATGTATATTTTGGGGGAATAATAGAAGGTAAAAATTTGAAAATCAAAACAACAACAACCAAAAAAAAACTGTGAGAATGCAATCTTTTTAAAGTGGCAAGACTGGATCATTGCATTAATTCATCTACATAGACAAACATGTATAAAGCTATATGTACATAGGATTTTGTGTGGATTGTTATTTTACTGGAAAAACAAAACTAAAAGAACATTAGAGATGACTGTGCATACACATACACACCATGTTTGCGGACATAAATACATTTTTCATTAATTAAAAAAAAAAAAGTTTTATGGGAGCCTTGATTAAATATAAAAATAAAAAATTGAGATCCTCTCATTCTCTAATTTTGTACACCATAAACTTTTTACCAGAATATTCTTTTTGACAAGGGAGTCTCTTATTGCTATGCACAGAAAAATGCCATCAACTGTTTGTTTGTATGTGTGTATATATATATATATATATATACACACACACACATACAAGAAGGAATGTGTGTAGAGATGTTTGTATAACATGTTTATGCACATTTTTTGTAAAATAAATTTCCAACTTCAATTTGTACTAAAGTATTGTATTATTGAAAAAATATTTTTCACAAATCACATGAAATTTACTGTTAAACTATGTATGGCAAGGTTAAGAATTAAAATTTTTTTACAATTTTGCTTGGTTGAAGTGAAACTAACATTTTTACTTTCTTTCTATTTGGATAAAGGCAACCAACAGCTGCTGTTTGTAATTATATAAAAATTACCAAAGTTTGTCATGACTAAACTAGATTTCCAAATTCTTCATATGATGACTAATTTATGACATTTCATTTTAAGAGAAAGACAAAATAGAATTTTCTTAGCTACTCTCCCACTTTCCATTCCAAATGAAAAGATTTTGAACTTTAAAAAACTGAACTTATTTTTCTATTCATGTTTGTAATACTTAGTTTTTTCAAAAATGAGATGCTGGTTACAAACACTGATGTGCCAATAATCATGGGATAGCAAGATAATGGTAAGTGGTGCCACCATATCAGGACAATGCACAGACCTGTATTAGTTAAGTTGCTCATGGCAAGGTGATGTGAATTTTTGGAGGTCAAATTTTTGATATACATTATTATCCACTGTAAACAATGGTAACAAGCAAGCTAGTTCCACATTCTTTAACTTCCCTGGGATATATGAGTAGAAAACCAATCAGACTGTAACTGTTAATGGTGCAACAACATTGGAGGATTGGTCTGATAAGTTACAGTTCTAAATATTTCAGGCTGTAGATGTAGTACAAAGCTCATGAGGCCATGGATTTCAGTTATCAACACTGCACCATGCAAGCTGGTTGGGGGGGGGTCTATAATGGTATGGTTTGTGTTTACTGGTCCACCTAAACATACCATGAACTCTGTTCTTCGACAACAATAGGTTATTCCAGCAGCATAAAGCACCTTTTTGCTCAGAATTGGTTTCTGAAAACGTCTGACAAGTTCATGAGCCTAACTGAGAACAAGTAGGCATGGTGGAGAGGCCATACACAAAATCTTGCATCAGGGAACTGTGGACAGCTATCAAAACAGTATGGTTCAACATCTCTTCAGATTCTGACCACTTGTGAAACCAATGCCACATCAAATTGCTGCACTTCTTTGTCAGGCTTAGAGATGGGTCTACACAATACTAAACATGTCAGCATATATTCACTGATACAAATTAATAGAAGGAAAGATCTGAATTCCACATTTAATCATTCACATACTCTTTATACTAAAGTTCTCATGAAAAGGTATGAATTTAATTTTCCCTGTCATGCACATGGTGTATTATATATAATTTTTTTTCTTCTTTTCTGGGCATAAGGGGTGTAAAAATGTCCAGGAAAAAAAAAAAAAAAAAAAACACAAACTCATATAAACACAAAAATTAAACAAAAAGCTTAAATTATATATTACAAAATTAATAACATTCTTCAAGGGGTTCTGTTTTAAACAAAAACAGAACTCCCTAGAACTCTGAAGTCAGAGAAAACAACAAAAAATTGATATTTAAAGTTAAGTAATCTTTTTATATAATATTAATGCTCTGTTTTTAACATTATTTTAATATTGAGTGCTATAAATGAAGTTTTTGCAGTGGATAATAATGTAGAACAAAACTTATTTTTTAAATTCTTCATACATCAGAGTGCTGACAACAGATTAGCACTTTGATTGTGGGAAGCTAAGCAAAGATAATGAATGACATTGTGCCACAAAGTTTTTTTTAGCTAATACTGGAAGAAAGAGCACCACATTATGTGGAATTAGAGAAAATTAATTTTAGAAAGATAGAATCCTAGATTAAAATCCTGAGAACAATTGTAATTCAAATTATAATTTAAAATAAATTATGTATAATCTTGTTTCAGTAGGGGATTGGGGGGGGGGGAGTACACTAAAAAAAGAAAAATCATCTTTTTCGCTTAAAGAGCAGCAGCAATTTCGAAAAGTTAAAAAAAAAAAAAAAATCCAATTCTTCACCTTTCTTGTTACTGCAATGATCAGACTTTTTTTCAGTAAGGAAAAATGCATTTGTTCAAAAAAAAAAAATAAATAAAAATAAATGTAGTTTGTGAGCACATACACAAATATATTGCAGATTTTATTTTGCAAATTATCTCCCTCTCCACTACAAATACATCATAATATACATACAGAGCAGCCAATTAGTGCCAAGGTAACCAAGTTGTTTCTTCCTTGACACTCAGCAGCCCAAATTCCCTACCCCCACTTCGCATTTTATGCCCTTCTCCCTTTCTCCAATGCATGAAGCGCTTTCATTTGTCTCATCAAATATTTACTTTTCAGGAATTGTTGGCTACACAATTTCTATGAATAAAATGATTATCTGCTCTTGTTTAGTCTTTCTCTGTTTCAGTCAAAAATCTATTGGCATTGTTGTAACTTTGTCGCTTTTCTTGAGGTTGAAGTTTATGTAAGATGAAGTCAACTATCTTCATTTCAAATGCTTAGATTTGAAATTGAATTATTTTGTTACAACAACCAAATAAAACAGAAAATCAGATGAGAATTTTGCTGAATGAAGGTAAATTTAGAAAAATTTTAGTCTGTTAAACAGTAAAAACTGCAGTAGATATCCATATCAGTTTACAATAATTAATCTTCCAATTGTTCGACTTCAGAAATCCCTTTTTAATCCTTATTTTCATAGGCCAATAACAAAGGAAAAGACTGGAGTTCATTGCAGTTTTTTTTAATGCAGTTCAAGTAAGGATTTTGTTTCATTTTTTTTTTCTCTTCCTTTCTGGCAAGGAGATTTTGTTGTGTATTTTCAGGATAGAGTGCCATTTTATTTATAGAAGCCAGACTTGGATATATTTTCCATATTTTTAGCAAACTGAAATCTTTAAATCTCAGTTCTGCTCCCTTTAATTTTTAGTAATTGTGAGTTCTGCTTAAATTTTCCTTAGAACAAAAACAACCACCTTGATATTTTTAAGAACAAATATATACATCTACTTTTGCTTTTTAAATCATTTAAATAATTTTCTTTGCTTTTATTACTTGTAAAAACAACTGTTATTCTGCTATTAACAAGTAATCTAAGCCAGTTGAAAATTTTCTTTCATCTAAAAAAATAATAAAAACATTGACACAAAATAAGAGGAAAAAAATGGATATTTAAAATTTAATATATATTTTTTAAATATACATAGATGTGCTGTTAACCCACTCATGTTAGAATAAACAAAAATCAGAATAATGAGTGGCTATCCCCACCTCTTTCTGCAGCCCACCTTAAAATTTGGTGGTTAAAGGAAACTGTTAAAAATAAAATCTCTAAATCTCTCTAGCAGAAGCCATCAAAGCTTTTGCTGAATTTTCTTTCTCACAATCAATAAGAAAATAAAAATAAAAATTGTACGTTCCATAAAATTTCAAATAAAAAAGTTTTGTTCTTGAATCCTTATCCCCTAACTCAGCCATTTCAATCACCAACAAAAAATTGGCACAGTTGAACTAACTTTGTACATTTGAGTTGGATAAAACCTACCTTATGTATTATGTTTAATTTGAGAAAATTTTAATGTGTTACAGGAATTTCATATTTTAGAATTAGCAAAAATAAGAAATACTTAATTCTGAAAGTAAAAGATGCTTTGGTCAAAAATATGTGGATTTGTATGGATTGGTAGAGGATGAGGAGTGGTTGCTTAAGGAGCTACAAGATAATCTGATTCTTGTAACTGGAATTTAAGTCCTTGTCAGGCAGTACAATAGAATTAAGAATGATGACTTCTGGAGGCACTTGAACCTTGGATCCTACAAAAATAAAGTTTTTAAGAAACAAAAATATATACAGGAATTAAAATTATTTTCATTACCAACAATTTACTTTTCTTATACAATGAGACATTGACAACAAAAGACAACAAATAATTTCATTAAGAAATTTATCTTTTTTCCTTTGATGTTAAAAATGAGCCAGCAGATTCAACAAGAGGAAACAAATTAACAAATGGAGAATTAAATTGCCATATAATGGTCATATTGTACAAAAAAATCTCTTATTGGATATTAGATCTTCAACAAGTGTTCAAATGTATTCAACTATTAGTTATGTATAAATTTTTAAAAACACAAATTCTCAATACAGTAAAGCTGGACAAAAACATACTAGAACAACAGTAAAAACCTTTGACAGAATTGCCAAAATTATTTTTTATTGAAAATAAATAATGTTGGTTGCATAATAACAAAGGTCAGAATTAATGATTGGAAGATGAGAGAGAGAAAATAATGAAAAGAGTGCCTTACCAATGACTGTAATTGAAGGATTTAATCTTCCATCATTTGTGAATAAAGAAGGAATTTCTAGTTTGGCAAAAGGTTTGTTAGGATTGGGGTCATTTGGTGTACCCTCAACTCTCGTCCAAGCACCAACCACACTGTTCCAGCCAACAATACTATACAGAATGCAGCAGTGATCCTGAAAGAAGTTTCAAGATTTTCAGTCAAACTCATAATATAAACAATTTGTCATTAAATACAGGTAACAATTTTAATTTTCAGCTATTCCTATTTTAAAAATTGCCATAGAATCCATTTAAAATAATTTAGTATGCAGGAGCATACTAAATAATGACTTGTTTTTTCACTAACAGTAGTTTTATTTTAACTCAGAAAAATAGATTAACAAGAAATCAACTTTTGAAAGATACACCTTGACTAAATACAAGGGAGATTTACAATCTTTTGAACAGTCTGGTCACACAACATACAATTCTATCATTCTCAAGATATCATTTCAGCTGGTATGTTAGTCAAATTAGAAAGTTTTAAGTTACTATCAATTTTGTAATTTCCTTTGTCAAAGAAAAAAAAAAAAGGTATATCTTCTGAACAAGTTTTTTCATGAAGCAAATATACAAAATCTTTTAACAATGGTATCTAAAATGGCAGAATTGTTGGATTGTCTTGAAGTGAAATCAGTTAAGAATCCAACATTCAGCATCCAAATCCCAAATTTCTCATAAAATTCGGAAGAGTATCATTTAGTTTTTTTTAATTCAAAATTTCATTACAAAAAATTTAAGATGAATAAAAGTAATCAACTTTGGGGATTTGATGTAATATTTATCTAACTTTATGAAATAAAGAGAAGAAAACATAAAAAGTAATTTAAAAACTAACATAATTAAAACATCTATTTTGATACTCTGAATTTGACAGTCTGATGGAAATGGTACTACATTCTTACTTGAAATGTGAAGGCAACACTAAAAGAATTCTTGTATTTTCAGGTTATAAAAAAGTAACTACTTTGTGGTTTTCATTTAAAATGAATGGAAATTTCTCCATTAACAAACTCAGATCTTGTGTCATGTCTCTGACACTGGTGTCCATTGAGAATTAACAATCCAATTTTCCCTACAAGAGCTTTTATAAATGGAGATGCCAATTGCTAGTTTTAGAAAGAAGGAATAAAAACCTTTTTTGTAACATACAGCATATGGAACTTCAAGAAGCTTTAAAACCATCCAAGAATGCAACAAATCAAGTCTAAATAATTGTGAAGAATGCTGCAATGGATATGCTGTTTTTGATTGAATGCTTTCTTCCTTGTGCAGATTATGATAATGAACATATTCTTCCAAAGTTTGATGACAACAAAATGATGTTGATAAAAACATTGTTACATATAAAACAACAGTGTCATTTTAAATTAAAATAATTTGTGAAATAAGAAAAATAATTTTATCCCAAGAGTTCAGATGATGATTTGATGAGTATCTTCAGGTTTGGAATTGATCAAGTAAATTATTTAAATCTAACAACTTACTTGAAGCACTGCTCCTTCTAAAATAATTGACTCTCGTATTCTGACTCCAGCTTTAATTTTCACATTTTTACCAATTGTCACATTTGGCCCGATCTGTAAACAAAAATTTGGGATATGTAAATATGAGGAAGAATAGTATTCTATATAAAATGAAACAATGAAAGTCTCCATTCAAGTGAATTAATTGATTGACTGATTAGTTTGTCACTGTAAAAATTTTTTTTTTTTTTTTAACTTTGTGTGGTTATTTTAGCTCTACCAATAAGTGACTGACATTGAATCACCAAAGAGAAAAAAAATTGTTAATTGTTGCTTTATTGTTCCAATCAGCTGAAATTTTAGTCAGTTTTTGTTTGTTTAATTAACCCATTTTGCTGTTGCATTTCCAACTTGCTATACTTTTCTGAAAACTTAAAAAAAAAAAAAAAAAAAAAAAAGAAAAAAGTTACTTTAAATCATGATAACATGATATTAATGTAAATGTTATGAACTGTAAATGTAATAAAAAAAAAAAAAAATTATGAATAAATGAGTAAATTTCCTGCACTTTTTCTTTTTCACCATTTTTTTCTATAATTAATGCCTTTAATGCTTGCCCCTGCTGTACTCATGATTCCCACAGATCTGTGTAAAAGAATTCTGGGATTTTTCAAGGAGTATGTTAAGAAATTTCAAGGACTGAAACAGAGGCACACTCACACAAAGCGAATAGTCATAGATTTCAAAAAGACAAACTTTGTGGGTTATCTTTTAATAGTTTGACAGATGAGATGTTCAAAGAAAAGCTGCAGCAGGTTCCAATAATTCATATCACATGGATCCATTGAAAGCAGTGAAGAAATCAATATGTTGAAGCTTATAACATAAGTGAATGCAGACCTGGTTATGTTACACATTTTTGCAGCATTCTACACAGGTTGGAGTTCTACGACACTTGAAATTTTGAATGACACACTTTAATTCTTACTGCTATACATTTCAGCTATCTAGACTACTTGTGGTTTGTGAATGTCACAAAAATTCTTGATTGCTGCACATTTCCTGTGAAATTAAGTATAATGGTTTTAATGAACAGAATTACAAATATAAATTTTCACAAAAAGATGACACATTTTAGTTACCCCTACTAATCAAGGCTTTTGTTGTACATAGCACAGAAGATAATGTCAACATTTTTTCAGTTCATCTAGTTTAGCATTTTCCAATTTTGATATCTCTATGGATTTGCCCTTTGTAGATCTTCACATAGAATTGGACTTTGCAATAAGTGTGATATTCTGAGTCTGATCAACTTTCTCCACATATCTATCAGCTGACTTGAGCAAATCTTGTGTGCATCTTTCAAGCTTGTCTTTGGTCTTCAGTTCTTCAATTTCTATAAGCATTGATTTCTGTTTTTGTCCATCTGCATCTTCCTGCCTTTTTTCCTCTGATTGCTTGTATGCTGTTCTGGCATTGAAAGCACTGCAGAGAAGAGCCTTAAGTCTTGGGAACATTCCCAGTATCTCCAACTATGACCAAATAGTCTGTGATAATGCACTGTGCCACCAGAGTCTACTGTTTTATATTGTCAGTGAAAATTTCTTTATTGACTGAGAAACATCTTGCCACTGAGGCTAGTCCAGGAGAGAGTGCCAGTAATCTGTGAACAACTCTCCGTTTTCTGATATTCTTTGTTGCTAGACAAAGAAGAGTAGTACCAAGTGTCCAGACAGTCTTCATGTTTTTTGAAGTTCTTGAAAGCAATATTTCCAGTAGTCACCTCCTTGAACTTTTTGTACTGACTGATGATGTCATCTCAATCAGACTTGCTGACTTGTTTTCTGTCCATCATATGGGAAAGACATCTTTTAGACTGTCTTCTGTGGCAAATTCTTTTTCACAGATCCAAGGTTTAGCCACTCTTGGAAGGTCATTACTGTATCTTTGCCATAAGTTTCTCAATGATGATGATGAACATTGTTGTAATTCTGCAAACAGATCTTTTGTTGACATTTCTTTTTTGGATAAATTTTGCATCCCTATCTGCCAAAAATCCACACTAGATCTTTGCAGCATCTTTGGCTTTGACAAAATTCTTACAAATTCATTCAGTTTGGAAAATGTAATTTTCTTTTGCTCTTCCTTTACAAATCTTAAGTTTCATGATCATGCTAAAAACAACTGCAAGGAAAGGAAGCAACAATTCATTGCTCTGATATTTTATCAGAAATGGGTCAATATCTTTCAAAACAGACAAAAAAAAAATCTGCAGTTTCACTGGAAAGAAAATATCATTCACATTTGTCAGCACTACAGAGGAAACTTGGTCTCAGTACATTTTCCCCCCTTTTTTTTTTTAAGTTCACAAATTTGATAACATCTGCCAAATGTCTAGGAGTTGTTCACATGTTTGTACATTTTCTAGTGAGCTATGGCAGAAATACAAAAGTAAAAAAGAGACAGGGTTGCTAGATTGAACTTTAAAAGATAAAAGTAGGTACCTCCACTAAGGTTTAAAATGAATTTTTATAAATGAAAAAGCTTTCTTGAAGATTTCATTTTTGCTTTAGTTGACATCTAAAGTATTAAATTTACTATTTCTAGTAAGCAAAATACTCTGGTGTATTTCAAACAGAAATTATATTGATTGGAATCAATTTTTTTTTTTTTTTTTTTTTAAATAGTTAATTCTTTAGTCGTCTTACATTGCAATGTAATTCTCTGTATTATATACAATACAGAGTTATAGATAAATTATAGAGATTATAATACATAAAATATACTTTTCTGAAACTTTATTTGAGAACTATTAGCGGATTTAAGGTATAATTAATCTGGTTTGAAAATAAGTTTAAAATAACACAGAAATTTAAAACAAAGATGTTTTATGTAATTAACGAGGCGATGACAGATTGTTGTTCTACTGAGATTTATCTGTAAAACATAACATTTGATGTGAGTGCCTTTATATAATTTTTAAGTACTCAGTAATCTTAAAAATGTTGGAAAATATTCTCCATAATCTAATGCTGACTTTAAATTTACTATAGTCATTGCTCTTATTTTTTGATGCCATGTATGGTCAATCATATTTTCAAAAATAAATGTACATAATATTTATATACATAAAAAATTTCTAAATTATTTTTAAAATCTTGGTGCAAAATGATTTGTATTAAGCTTTTCAATTTTTGATTAGCAAATAGTTTTTACTTAATAACAATATCACTTAATGAGCTTAAATGTACAATTTTAAAACATTTTTTAAAAATTAAAATATAATTAAAATCTAAAAAAATGAAAACAATTCTTGTAAAAATTAATTATTCAACAAAAAAAAAAAAATATAAAATATATTTCTTAAGACAATAGTTTTCTTAATAAATCTTATTTATAAAAGCAATTAAAAGCTTTTCTAATTAAATAATGTCAGTTTATATTGCCTTTTTTATTTTAACATTTGGAGCAGATTTTTGGAAATGAGTAGCAATTTGAAGAAAAGAAAATTAAGCAAGCAAAAACAATATATTTTTCAAAAATAAAAAATTTCAAAAAGTAATTTAATTTGTGAAGAAGTTCAGGAAGTTTCATTAAAATCCGACATTCGATTTTTGCAAGAATTTCCAAATCAATGTATTTTTCACCAGGAAAAAAAAAATTAAAAAAAAAGCACTAAAATGCACTAATTGTAAATATTATGTCAGCCTCTAAGATAAAAAAAAAAAGAAAAATTTTAACCAGAATTTCAAATGTGCTAAAATTTTATATTATCTTAAAAAATTTAAGATAATATAAAAAAATGTTTTGATCTTTCCTCTTAATAATAAACATTTTTATAAGTGTTTTTATTAAGTTTGGGGCCTTTTTTTCATCAGGCTAAGCTTTTTTTCAGTGTAAAAAGTGTAGGTATCTAAATAAAAGCCAAATAAGTTTTAATTTCATCATTTATTCACACTTAAAAAGTAAAACAAAAACATTATTAGCCTTAAAACTTTAAAAAAATAACATTCTTATTTTTTTTAAAGACGCATTTTCTATCCTAAGACATTTTTTATCATCCTTCCCGTCTATATTTTATTGGAATCAAATTTGATTCTCAACCTTGTTGATTTTGGCAACAATAAATGCAGTTTATACATTGACAGTATCTATTTTTTTTTAGTATAAATTGAACCAATACTGACTTGAGATCAAAAGGACTTTTTACTTTTGAAATGGATCACTTTCTGATGTAGATGTGGTTAGTTCATCAACATTATAAAAAAAAAAAAAAAAAAAAAAGAGAAAGTGTGCATGTCTACTCTATTCCACCTATAATAAATGGTCAACTCCAATTTGTTACTACTATAGTGTTTCATCACACTGCCATGACAATCTGCATATGTTGTACAAATATCACAGGCTTCCAAATATTTAGATCTCGTTCTTTTGAGGGCAGGTTTTAATACCCAGATGGCCAGCATGTACTTTTTTTTCTTCATTTTGGGTTGCATGTGGTTTTACTTTACTTTTCTCCTAGTCTCCAGGTAGGCCAATCAATTCATGACCTGTTGGGAGAGGATATGATAGGGCTGGCCTACAACTATATGGTAGGCCTAGTGGCTGGGAAAGTTTCTGGACAAAAAAAGTGAACAAAGTTGAGAAAAAAATTGATCACTCAATTTGAAAGTTATACCAACATGACCAAAGCTGCTAGAGCATTGTTTGGGATTCAGCTGACCATAAGAAATCCATTAGTAAGAGATGACATAGCTAGGGATAGATCCCAGACATTGGATGGTGTGTTCACATGAGACCACTGGTGGTCTTGGTTTACAGCAGCAAGGAGTGAAAGGGGCTTTTGCAGATGTTAGGGCACTTTGATGATTCCCATCAAAGTGCCCTAACATCTGCCAGGTTAGGGATGTTACACTTCATGAGGATCTACTTTGGGTATGCTCAACAAGGTCATTTAAGCTTACATTGTCCAGATGAAGGGTAGGAAGACTGGAAAAGAGAAGCGATCAGCATTGAGCACTGATCCTTCCTGACAGAAGGGGCTTGGTCTGCTTTATATGTAGTTGGGAAGGTCATGGGGGTAAAGGAATACCTCACAAATCAGGTCTGCCCCT